AGGAAGTCTCTACTTTAATATTTTGAATGAATTTCCAAAGTGTTGCTCAGATTAATTTTACTTCAAGTGATTTGTTTTCCTATTACAATTCTGTTTTCCACGCAATTGGACTCATGAATTAGAATATATTCTGACAGATCAATCAGCTAATTAATTTATTTATTAGATATTCCTATTTTTACAAATTTCCAACAACAAAATCAAAAATCTGGAAATCCAATTTTGTCCAGATTTCATTCACCGTTTTGTTTTACAGGTATAGATCTATATAAGGAACTCTCTACTTTCATATATCAAGTGAATTCGGCCATTTTGTATAACTAAGTTATATATATTAGGAACAATCTTAGTACAAGCATTGTTCAATTTTAAGAAGGATCGTAGTATATACATTGTTGGATTCTAGGAATAATCCCAGTTGAAACAGTTGACATCCTTTAGACTCTTGATGACATCCTGATGCAATCTTTAGAAATTTTGATAACATCCTGGTGAAATCTGTTCAAAATGTCGATTCAATCTGTGGAAAATCTTTACAATTCTTGATGAAATCCTTGAGAAATCTTCGTGAAATCTTCAGAAATCTCGCCCAAATCCTTGAGAAATCTTTATAAATCTTGATGAAATCCTTAGGAAATCTTCAGAAATCTGGGTGAAATCCTGGACAAGCATTTAGAAATCTTGATGAAATCCTTGGGAAATATTCATAAATCTTGATGAAATCTTTGCGAAATCTTCAGAAATCTCGATGAAGTCTTTGTGAAATCTTCAGAAATCTCGTCGAAATCCTTGAGAAATCTTTATAAATCCTGATGAAATCCTTGAGAAATCTTTAGAAATCTTGATGAAATCCTTGGGAAATCTTCAGAAATCTGGATGAAATCCTGGGGAAATCTTCAGAAATCTCGATGAAATCCTTGAGAAATCTTTAGAAATCTTGATGAAATCCTTGGAAAATCTTCAGAAATCTGGATGAAATCCTGGGGAAATCTTCAGAAATCTCGATGAAATCCTTGGAAATTTTGAGAATGCTAGAATGAAATCTGTGTGAAATGTTGATTGAATCCTTGTGCAATCGAAACAGATTCAGCCAACTTCTGATAAAATCCGACTGTATTCTGTCGGAGCCTTACGTTATCAGGCGTTTCTCTGTGAATGGATCCTGGTGGTTACGGCATTATCTGACAAACAGTTCCGACAGGATCCGATCGGATCCTTTCCGATGTAATCCGGTCCGGAATCCATTAGTTAGGAATCCTGTGAAATACGGTTGGGTTCCGATCGGATTTAGTTGGGAACCCGACGAATTCCGGTGTGATCCGACAGCGGATCCGATAGTTTCCGGTAGGATCTACAGGTCGGATTGAATCACCTGGGCAGTGATGAAACTTTCAATAGATAATTATTATATGATACTGTTACGGTGATGTCACACCTATACATATTTCTCTAGTATATTCCTCCTCTTTGATCTCTTCCATCGTTCTATGATTTTCATTTGTTATCTTTGTTTACTTTCGTTCTCTTATATATATGTGTTTTCTGTTCGATATATATATAAGGATATTCGAACCTGGTTATATAGAATAAAAGTTAAGTACACTTCTAAGAGTACATATTAACATCTTATATAAAGACCTAACATTTGGCGACCCTGGTGAAACAACATCATAAGAAATTACAAAAAACAAAATAAAAATAAATTAATTATTATTGATATCAATTAAATTATCATTGAATTTTATAAAGCCTCTATTTGAAAGAGACTTGTATTGATTTTGACTGAGAGCCTTTGAAACTGAACAAAGACTCGAGAAAAGCTAAATTCAAAATAATATTGTTCAATAGGTACGAAAACTTGATATTTACTATTAGATAAAACAATCTCTCTGGTTAATGAACAATTTGCAACTATACGGAATAGTTTTGCATAAATTTTTTTGGATTTAAAAAAAAAAAAGTTTTTAATTATTATCTCAACTAAGGATTTTTTCGGGAAAGAAAATCGTAAACCAAAAGAACTTAAATCGTTATTATTCATTTCAAAATAAGAAAGATTAATATAATAATATAGCAGAGATTCTGAGGAGAATTTCGATTTATCTATTTATCTATCTATACATATATATATATAAATAAAAGACGAAAAAGACAATTCTCAGTTGCATCCAAAACAAAATATCATTTATATTAATATCATATATTTCCACCACGGCTACCGGTACAAGGTCTCAAGTTAAAAAATATAATAAAAAATTATTACCATATACCATTATTACTAATTCATCATCTCATATAATTGCAACAACTAATTCAATTGTTAATCCAACATTTAATACACATACAATGGCTGATCAAACATTATTAGCAAAAGCTCGAAAAGCTCGATTTGATGATTTACCAAATTTTTCAGGACATCCTTCTGAGGATGTCGAACGATTTTTAAAACGTATTAAAAATATTACAAAAGCCAATGCTGAATCAGAAAATAAAGAAATTCTTGAAATTGTACGTGGTAAATTAACCCAATCAGCAGGCTTATGGTTTGATAACAATGAACATAATTTTAAAAAATGGTCAGATTTCGAAGTTCAATTTCGAAATCGTTATTTTTCAACAACAATGATTCATAAAAAGTTTGATCAATTAAAGCAACGACAACAATTACATAATGAACCTGTTACTGCTTATATTGATGATATCATTAATTTATGTCGTGAAATTGATCCAACTATGTCAGATTCAAGTATTATTCAACATCTGATGAGTGGTATTAATCCTGATTTTAAAAAAGAAATTTCTCGGCATGAATCATGTTTATATAACTTAAACGAATTTTTAAAATATGCCAAAATTGAACAAGATTTACATGATACATTTGATAAATCTCAACAATTATCATTCGAATATACACAACAAAATGTTTTAAATAATTATCGACCATTTACTTCAGTTACAACCACAGTTAAACAATCTAGACAACAATTTCAATTTATGAAACAAAACAAATTTTTATCACATACAATACCCACACAGAGCTCCGTTATTAATCGGAACTCGAACTATCAACCAGCACTTCAATCAACATATGTACCTGACAAAACATTCACAAGAAAAGATATTCACAAATAAATATATCAATAATCAACCAGCCTCACAGCAACAACATAATCCTTGTAAAGTCTGTGGTCGAAGAAATCACCGATCGCATGATTGTTACTACAAACGTACAACCGGATGTTTTAATTGTGGTCAAAATCATCATATCCGAAGTTGTACAATGTCTCCACATTTTCAATAACTGGGTCACATGATGGCGGTGTTCCCAGTCAATGTATTCAGCCATCAACAACAACATCTTCTCCCGTTTATATCAAGATTCGTGTTAACAATCAACCAACTGAAGCAATTGTTGATACCGGTTCCGCCATCTCAATCACTCATGCAAATTTTCTCAAAACTATTCATCATGAACATTTTATTTATAACAATTATATATGTCAAACAGCAAATTCAACACCACTTAATATAATCGGTCAAATTAAATTAGAACTAAGACTTAAATCAACAACAACATACGTCATCGCTCATGTGGCAACAAATTTAATTACATCTGTATTATTAGGTAATGACTGGATTAATTCAAATCATGTTCATCTATTTGGTGATCAACAACAACTGACTATTCCTGATCAACATGATCAATTAATATCGATTTCATACGTAGCACCTACATCTATTAACTATCCAGCATTATTAATTGATCAAATCACTCTTCCACCATACTCACAAATATTAGTTGATATTTCATGTGAAATTAATAATGATCATAATCTGATATTTGAACCATATTCAAACTATGCCTCAAAATTTATTTTTATACCACATACATTATTAAATATCAACAATCATAAAGCTAAAATATTACTAATCAATGCTCAGAATCAACAAACAATATTACCAAGAAATACACGAATCGGAACTCTTTCTCGTCCTTCAACTTACACAATATGTTTTAGTACATCAAATCCAACAAAACAAAATTCATCTTTCAATAAATATAATCAATCAACATCCAGTAATTCAAGCAAATTAAAATATAGAGCTGTCACAAATAAAAATGACAACTCGGAAGAAGAAAAATTAGATATTATTTGTGACAATTGCAATGAATATTTTCTATCTGGTAATGATTTACAAAAACATTTACGAGCAAAATGCTACTCTGATGAAATTCGTCAAAAGATATTCGATTTAACAAAACATATAGGAAATGAAAAAAACCGTTCGAAAATTGAAGATATATTATGGCATAATAAAATTCTATTCGATCCTACACCATCCATTATTAACATTCCACCACAATCAGCAATCAAGACAGGTGATCATCCACCTATTTACTCAAAACAATATTCGTCTTCTTTAAAAGATCAAGATATTAAATTGCAAGAAACACAAAAATTATTAGAACGTGGTCAAATTGAAGAATCAACTTCTCCATGGTCATCACCTATTGTTCTTGTTAAGAAAAAAGACAAAACAATGCGATTTTGCATTGATTATCGACGATTAAATACTATTACAATTAAGGATGCATTTCCATTACCCCGTATTGATGAAATTTTTGATCAATTATCCGATGCAATGTATTACACAAAATTTGATTTTAAATCTGGTTATTTCCAGGTACCTCTATCTAAAGAGGACCGACCTAAAACTGCATTTTCAACTCGTGATAATCATTATCAATTTACTGTCTTACCTCAAGGAATTACAAATGGACCAGCAACATTTCAACGTGTAATAAATCATATATTAGGGCCTGCGAGATGGAAATATGCATTAGCGTATATCGATGATGTAATTATTTTTTCGAAAACATTTGAAGAACATTTAATACACCTTAATGATATTTGTACAATATTAAAAAATGCTCGATTTCGTCTGAATCCAGACAAATGTGAAATTGCTCAAACTGAAACAGATTACCTTGGACATAATATAAGAAATGGTGAAATTCGTCCAAGTTCTCATAATTTTCATGGGTTATTAAATACCAGATTACCACAAACTGCAGATGAAGCTTGTAAATTTGTTAAAGCAGCTGAATATTATCGCAAATTTATTCCCAATTTTTCTCAAATCGCTGAACCACTTAGGAAATTTGTTCCAACTACAAGAACTCAACAAAAGAAAGGACAAAACACAAGGATTACATTAACACAAGATGAACTTAAAGCATTCGAACAACTTAAACATTTTCTTACAACTGACTTAGTGTTACGATTACCGAACAATAGATTCCCTTTCAAGGTTCAAACAGATGCTTCGGATGAGGGAATCGGTGCAGTATTATTACAAATATATCCAGATGGTGATAGACCAATTGCATATCTTTCGAAGAAACTTACACAAGCACAACGCAAATGGTCTCCAATGGAACAAGAATGTTACGCATTTATATGTGCATTAGATAAATGGCATAATTATTTAAGTGGAATTCAATTTACTTGGGAAACTGATCACAAAGCATTAACACAATTAAACCAAAAAGCTCAAATTAACAAACGATGCGAGAGATGGAGATTAAAAATTTTAGAATATGATTTCAAGGTGAAATACATTCCAGGCTTAACAAATTCTATGCCCGATTATTTATCAAGATCTCCTGTTGAAGATGCTGAAGAAGATCCTGATGAAACCACACACCTTCATTCCAAATCAACACAAACTGATATTTTATATGATGACCAACATTCATCCATCATCGCAGCTGTTGAAACTCGTGCTATGAAATTACGAAATAACACTTTAAATGAACTTTCAAATAGAACAAAATTAACATCAGATTCTCTACATAATTCTATTCAATAGAATCGCACCACTCCATTTTCAATTGAAGAATTAATTCAAGCTCAACAAAATGATGCTTATGCAAAAAATATTTTTAATAATATCAAGAAATACCAACATTATATTATAAAAGACAGTATCTTAATGCGTCGATCTAAAACTCCAGTTCCATATGTACCACAAGGTGATTTTCGACGGACAATTTTACAAATATATCATGATACAGCAGCCAATGGTGCTCACTTTGGAAGAAATAAAACAATACATAAAATTAAACAACGTTATTTTTGGCCATCAATGTACAAGGATATTAATAATTATATCAAATCATGTATCCCATGTGCACAATTTAATCCTCGTCGACAAAAAACTCCGGGTACTTTACAACCAATACAACCACCTGATGGAGTATGGCAATTAGTAGCTATGGATTTTCATGGACCTATTACACCAATATCTCAACGCGGCAATAAATATATCATATCTCTTACCGATGTTTTATCCAAATTCGTTGTTACCAAAGCTGTACGTGATAATACAGCTCCAACAGCTGTTAGATTTCTTAAAGAAGACGTTATCGCAAAATTTGGAACACCTCGATGTCTTCTTACTGACAATGGAACACATTTTACATCAACATTAATGAATGAATTATGTAAACAAATTGGTATCACACACTTGTATTCAACACCATACCATCCTCAAACTAATGGTCAAGTTGAAAGATATAATTCAACTATGGACGCAAAAATTGCAGCATTATCAAATTTTAAGAAAACTGATTGGGATGATCAATTACCATTTGTTACATTTAATTATACTGCTACAATTCATTCAACTACAAAACAAATACCATTCCAAATGATGTACGGACGATTACCAACATTACCCTTCGATTATCAAGCCGATAACGTCACATTATCATATGATGCTGAACATACCATCAAACTCAAAAATTTTTTGTCAAAATTAAATGAACAAGCCAAATTAAATATTCTAAGGAATCAAGCTCGATACAAACAACATTATGATATTCATCGTTCTGATCCCTCATATAATATTGGTGATTTAGTTCTTGTTAAAACACTCAACACCCGTCACAAATTCGATATTCGTTATGAAGGACCATTTAGAATTATTAAACAATTGACACCAAAAACATTCATTCTTCAACACGTCAAGAAACCAACTTTACATCGTCAAGTTACATCAGACGTGTTATTACCAATATTTGAACGTATTTATTAGATTTTAAGGACCTCTTCAATGAGATCCGTACCATAATTATATCTCAACATTAAATGGAATTATTAATTCGGGTTAAATTTATACAATTAATTATCCTATGATACGAAACTTATTTATTGAATGTATTTAACATTCAATCAATCTTCATAGATCCTCTTTATGGGCTCTGAGAATCGAGAAGAACTTTTTTCGTACATCAATTCTATTGAGATATAAAATAACTACATCTATTATATATATAATTCATCATTATTTTTATTTGTCCTGAAATTATTATATTTATGAAAAAATTATATCACTTATTTTCACTGATTCTTTTCCCTTTGAGAATCGAATTTTTCACACCTTAGATTCATTTTTTAATGAATCGCTATTTAATATAATTATAATTTAACTTTCTATTCTAGTCATGTTATCACAACGAGAGTACGAAAAGCTTAAATGGCAATTAAAGAATATTCCATCAACAATTAAAGGACGTCCACGACAAAATCTTCGAACAGCACTCCGAAAAAAAATACACGAACATGAATTAGCATCAACATATCCAACATTTACACCATCCAATTTCCAACAATTTTTTATAAATTTTCAAACAACTGATTTAACACTTCTTCATCTTATTGAAGCTTGTGCAGCTTCAACAAATTTTATTTTGGATACAGAATCAGTTGGTATTTATCAAGGTCCAAACAAACCCGCACTTATTCAGATTCAAATCATATTACCAACTTCGATTTCTTATGTATTGATCATTGAAGTTTGTCATTTACCACCTATCCATGAAACAACATTCCGACTTATTAAACAATTTTTTACAACATTGTTTTCTTCAGGAAAAACAGTTTTTTACAACATTGTTTTCTTCAGGAAAAACAATTTATATTTGGGGAGAAATTGATGAATTAAATGATTTTACTAAAACTGGACTATTTACTCTTGATCAAATTCAACTATCAAATAATAACAATTTTCAAGATGAATTTAAAGATTATTGGACCAAGAAACATCCTCATCAAACACGATCTCAACGTTCAACAAATGAATTACCATGTCAATGTGAATCCTGTTTAGGCATTAATCCAACTGATACATGGTCTTTACAAAATGCCGTCGCATATGAACTTCATCAATGGTTAGATAGACGTTTTACTCGTTCAAGTTTTGATATCGGTCTTGATCCACAATTATATCATTTTAATACGAATGAAATCGAACATCGTACACAACTTACTCGTTACGCTATATATGATTGTTTATCAATTTATCAATTATTACTTAAATTGAACTTAATCAACAATCCACAACAATCAACAGTTACATTAATTACATCAATTGAAGAAAATATAATTGAACAACAACCAACAATCATTGATGCTGAACAGATTTCATCAGATGAATCAGAACCTGAACGTGAACCTCAACAATACAACTTATTATCGGAAGAAGAACGTAAACGAATACACAATCGTTCATGTACACTGAAACAAAGAAAACGTTATTATCAAAATAAAATTATAATTAATAATATTGACCGTCGTTTTACAATCAAACAAATAAAAGCTATTATTCGATCTTACGACGTTCCATTCTTTGCTGTTAATTTTTCAACATCATCGACAACAAGACAACGATCATTACACATCGGCATACGAGATTCATCACAAATTGATCATTATCACAATTGTATAAAACATTTATTTACAACATCTCATTTTAATGAATTTATATCTAGTCAACGAAATAGATCATCTTATAAAGATGATCGAACAAGGAGATCGAAATGATATATAAACAAAACACAAAAAATCAATAAATAAATCAACAACTAACCTCAATCTTATATTTTTGTTTCGCTTTTGTTTTGTTCAGATACTAAACTATCATTTTGTCTTTCATTGTTCCTTATCTTTACATATCATACAACTTGTTGATCTCATTTAAAAAAACTGTGATTTTTTGTTCTATTGTTTTCTTTTCATTTTTGAAAAAACCGTTAAATTACTTTGTCATTTTTTCATATATAACATTTCGTTCATTTCATTATATTAGTCATGTTGTTACTGTTTAAAAAAAAAAAAAAAAAAAAAAACTGATAGTACACCTTTTTCGTTCAATGGGGAGAATGTTACGGTGATGTCGCACCTATACATATTTCTCTAGTATATTCCTCCTCTTTGATCTCTTCCATCGTTCTATGATTTTCATTTGTTATCTTTGTTTACTTTCGTTCTCTTATATATATGTGTTTTCTGTTCGATATATATATAAGGATATTCGAACCTGGTTATATAGAATAAAAGTTAAGTACATTTCTAAGAGTACATATTAACATCTTATATAAAGACCTAACAGATACAAATTCGAAAGGGTGTTTCTATGATAGAGCGTATGTAATCACGATAGTGACCGCTATCATGTTGATATTCAGAGCACAAAATAAACCATGCACTTCATTGAACAGTAGGGTGTTATATAGATATGAATGTGTAGTGGAGTGAAAAAGACTCAAAGACTGTCGCATTCAATTACTACCTATCGCTCGTCGTCGTAGCTGTACGAAAAAACAGGAATATTAGACTTTCTTTGCAACAGAATATCTACGAACATATCGAATGTTGGAATAGACGAGACTACCATGATCTGATGATTGTTTCCACTAGTTTCCACCTCTACATTCTTCATTAGCTCGAAATGAAACCTTTTAGTTGACATCGATTTCGCCTTTTGTGAAACACGATCTGAAAGGAGTGTTGAAGTGTTTAGGGGTAGAAATTTGCACCCCCCCCCCTCCCCCCACAGACCGTGGCAGACACTCACGTGACCCATCACAAACCATGTCAGACAGGGCTCCTGACCTATCATAGACCGTGACAGACAGTCTAAGGACCCATCACAGACTGTGATAGACAGGGCTCCGGACCTATCACAGACCGTGACAGACAGAGCTCCGAACCCATCACAGACCGTGACAGACAAGACTCAGGGATCATTATAGACTGTGATAGAGGACTTTAAGGAAATATCAGATATGATGCATAACTAACATCTGATTGAAGTATATATATGGAGTATTATACTGTTGAAATTATATGAAGTAAGGTAAGCCATTATGAAGAAATATACATCAGTATGCATTAAAAAAACAAGAGCTTTTAGAATATCGACTATAGCAGCTACATCGTGTTTCACATTTTTAATCCCGCAAGGGATTGCGCTAACAGCTTTTTATTGTGGAGTTCAAATTCATTTTCGGAAACAGTAAGTGCATATTTAAATTAGAACTAGGTTTTCATCGCAACGAGAAGGCTTAATAACATCATTGAAATCATTCACGAACCTTCTAGTGTCTTTCAGAACATTCTGCAAATCCATGATTTTGAATGATTAGGTCACTGATTTTATTCATTTCGCAGCGCTACAAGAATACGGATATAGAATATGATGAACTAATTTTGAATTCTGAGTGTGGGCAAAACCCCTCAGTATATGATAAAGCTCTCTCAGAGAAGGAGTGGTGTAATCGGAAGTTTACTGAAGAACATAAGTCAATGTGTGTAGTAGGCTTATGTCATGATTGAAACGATAAAATTCAAAATACGATGATATTTACCGCTTTATACAGTGAATACGAAATATATATTATTATTAGGAGAAGATTCTTTGTATTGAAAACATGTCTGATAATAAAAAGTTTTTTCAATATAAAGATATTACATGATTCTAAGACTTTGATAGAGTAACATGGTTTTGGTATGTAAGGATCGGTGCTGTACCGATCCAGGCCTGTACTTACATCCACAGACTACAAGAAAAGGACTTACAATCGTCTTCCTTGCTGCCACTTTCGTCGCTCAAGTCTTCGCAAGATGCTTTCAAAGCTAAACAATCAAGACGAGTGTGTGATTTTTTGACGGGACGTGGATGTGGGGGTGTGGATATGTCATATCATTTTGAATCATGTAAGGAAACAAATAAATGATCTTATTCACCATGAAGTTGATTCAAGTGGTATAGGAATTATAATAGAAATACTTGAATTTTATCAAAAGTAATCGTCATAGCTCTAGTAGTTTTGTTTACTGTTGTTTTTTATGTCATTGAAAAATAAGCTCGAGTGTAACTTCTATATCTTTTTCAGTATTAATTGTTTCTTGAAGAAATAGAAAAGAAGATAAGCTCAAAGAAACGAAAAAGATCAACGTCGAGCCGAAAAGAACTATGATAAGTGAACAGTTCTTATGCTAGCAAGACAGCTTATAAAGAAAGATGTGAGAAGAAATATCACCAACATTTTTAAATGTCTAAAATCTTTCAGTAAACTGTGTTAAGAAGAGGTGTTTGACTAATTAACTTATTACTGACTACTAGCCTGTTGTAGCTATTGTTGTTTTTCTAACCCAAAATAAGTCACATATCAAACCTCAAACATTGTGCAGAGCAATTTATTCACGCTCGAAATAGTGATGGAATTGTCAAGAGATAAACATTGTATGATACAAATTCGAAAAGATGTGTCTTTCATAAAGCGTTATATAATCACGATAATGGCTGTATCAAGCTGGCGTCTGGAACACAAAATACAGTATAAATTTCTTCAAACAGTAGGCTGTTATGTGGATGTGAATGTGTAGTGTGATGGAAAAAGCGCAGACACTGGTACATTTCGCAACAGAATACCTGCAAACATATCGACTGTTTAAACAGGCGAGACTACTACAAGTTGATAATAGCCTTCATTGCTTTCGACCTCTACACTTTTGATTCGCTACAAATGAAATTACACAGTCGCTATCAATCTCGTCTTGACATTGTGGAGCTCTGGTTTATTTTCGAAGAAAATAGTGAATGCATATTTCAATCCGAAGTACGTCTTCACACAGCAACGAGAAGTATTAATAACAATACTTAAATTATTCTCGAACTTCCTAGTATCTTCCGAAATATTCTATAAATTCATCATGTTTACTGTAGATTCTAACTAATCTAAACATTATCGGTTTTGGTATTTGATGGATTGAAAGGATTCTATTATACGTGTAAATCATTAGGTCAGTGACTTTATTGATCTAGAAGAGTCAGAATAGGATATAGAGAAAAAAATATGAAGTAACTAAATTCTAAGCTTAGGTAAAACTCAACAATGTATCGGAACGACCATACGCTATGGAATTTCATTTTTTTCCTATTATAATAATTATATCTCAACAACGACACTAGCAAATCCCATGAAATTTTTATCATATATAAAGACTATTTAGATCTTACATCAAAGAAGAATTTTATAAGTTTATATACAGTCAAGTTTGAACTATTAAAAAGCTCTGATCGTTACGGAATTTCAAAAAATGGAATTTCTTTTAGAGCAAACGGAGAGTTAAGCATTTTACTGCACAACGAAGTTATGTACAACTAAATACTCTGTATGCAAACTGTTCAATTTTTCACAAACTTTCAGAATATTGGTTCATTTCTGACCAGAGTATGATTACATCAAACAAAACCTTGTAAACACTGTCCGTTAGGGAATTTCAATTGTTACGGAATTTCGTCTTTTTTTCATTTTCTAATAGAGCATGTTTGAAACCTTGAAATTTTCACTTTTCATGATAAAAACTCATCTTTTTTCATTCCAAAAGCAACACAGGCAGTTATACTATCTGAGCATGCTAGTTTCGTTCACATAACGAAATAACATTAAAAATTCTGTTCATCTTTCAGACAAAAAATGAAATGTAATAAAATTCAATACTGAATATTTTTCAGAAGATTAGTTAAAAATTTCTTTTTAAACGTTTCTCGGATAAAAGTAAAGGTTTATATCGCTAGTCAACAAAGTATCTCAGAGCTTGCAACATGGTTCATAAACTGTCAGTGGTGCACTTTTGATTTCAGAGAAACTTTTATTTCAGTGAGTTAAAATCTTTACCGTGTGAGAGTGATCGATGCACAGCCATGCTGATATGTCAGTGGTCGTGGAGAGAAAGGATACTATGCTCTGAAATCCATTGGACGCTTAAACCAATGTGTACAGCAGGATAATATGTTAATTCACTGAGAAAATGAAGAACACAATGCTATTTACTACTTTCTATGGTAAATAACGTATATATTGTCATTGGAAGAAAGGAGTTTTCTCAGCAAAGCGATGTTCTAAACCCTATAAACTTACAAAATAGCGATTCTAAATGCAAAAATTTTCGAAATGATACAATCTAGAGGGCGTGCATCATTTATGAAAATTCTTACAGTCTTAATTTATTCATTTGCTCGGTAAACTGTTTACGTAAACTACTTTAATTCCTCTAAAAACATACGAGAATTTTATAACAGTCAGAGTTTCTATTCTACATTCTCACGCTGGTTAAGATTGCACCGACAAGTTTATACCACCACCCATAGATGTCGAGACTGTAGCAGCTAGATATATGTTCCATTTCTAGAGAGAACCGGTACTTACGAACACATTTACGGTTTAAGCAGGCTTTGTTTTTGCAATCCGCTCCTTTATTACATGTTGCACCATCTTTACAAGGTGGACAGGAACCTCCACAGTCGACGTCAGTCTCATCTCCATTTCTCTTCCTGTCGATGCATGTTGAAGCTGAAAATCAAAAACATTCATTAGTCACACAAAATATGAGAGGATAAGTCAAGAACTCTTCTGATTAGAGTTTATGATCCTTAAAGTTTTGATATATTACATGTTCATTCTGAGGCCTTTATCACAAGTAACGCTCGTTCTTGTAACTCGTTTGGCCCTCGACTGTATATTCGGGCCTTTGAT